GAAAGGGTAAAAATAGTTTTTAATACCAGAAATACTTTGTAAAAAGTTATTACCAGACAAAATTTTTGAAGAAAAAAACTATTACCAGCAATATATTTTTGAAAAAAAACTTCACCAGCAAAACGTTTTTGAGAAAAAAAAATTATTACCAGCACTACGTTTTTGAAAAAAATATTACCGGCAATACATTTTTTTGAAAATAATATTACCAGGAAAAAAGGTTGTCGGCATTAAATAACCTATTGAGGTTGATATCCCGTAAACCAAATCAAACCAAACCAACGTTTCTAAGTCAGGTGAGATGGATGACCAAAGATGAAGAAATATTAATGTACTCCTCTGAATTACTGATTGTCGAATCGTAAAGAATGAGGGAACAATAAATTAGATTTATTCCGATATAGAATAGAATTTTCAATTTAAAGAAGCTTATTCGTATTCCAGAATTTAAAATGATAAAATTAGAGTTTTTTCGACAACAATCATTATTTCATCGATTTTCCCCTTTTTTATTCAATTACTAAATTACTGTATTTAAGAATAGTTCATTATCTCATTCTTTCATTGTCGCCTTCAAAATCGTTAATTTTTGCTTTCCAGTTTAATTATTTAAATATGTGCTAAATTGTTTTAATACTACTGCTGCTACTACTACTACTGCTACTACTACTACTGCTACTACTACTACTGCTACTACTACTACTACTACTAATAATAATAATTATTATTATTATGATTATTAGTTAGTGCCGCGCCAGGAAATTTTTCTCACAGGAATCAATCCTTCAAACCTACAAATCAACTATTCGCGCTTACATGGACCATTGCATCCATATATATGGTCTGGAGCCCTTTCTGTTTGTCTCAAGCTCCTTGATAAAAATCCAAAGACGGATATGCAATGTAATTGGCCCTGATCTGGCATCTCGTCTGCACTCGCTCTCTCACAGACATGCCGTTGCCTCCCTCTTTCTATTTTACAAATACTTTCCAGGAATCCCTTCAATTAGTCTACTGAAATATTTTCCAACAAATCCGAGGGCTCCAACTACAACGGGGACTGTTGATGTTCCCATATGCCACTTTTTTGAGATTCCGATTTCAATGTCCTTGTATTTTAATAGCGTTTTGAAGATCTTGAAAGTTACATTGCAGTCTGGAGGTACTACCATATCAATAAGGAGACACCTTTTTTTGTTTGGTATCTCTAATAACAATGTCTGGGCGGTTAGCTTTGGATTAGCCTATTGATTCTGTCTGTGTGTATTGTGCTGTCCCATAAAAATTGTTCTCACAGGAGTCAATCCTTCAAACCTACAAATCAACTATTCGCGCTTACATGGACCATTGCATCCATATATATGATCTGGATCCCTTTCTGTTTGTCTCAAGCTCCTTGATAAAAATCCAAAGACGGATATGCAATGTAATTGGCCCTGATTTGGTATCTCGTCTGCAGTCGCTCTCTCACAGACATGCCGTTGCCTCCCTCTGTCTTTTTTTACAAATACTTTCATGGTAACTGTTCCGATGAGCTGCTTTCGCTGGTTCCCAGACTTCATGAATTTAAGCGTTCTACTAGGCTGGCATCTCGCTCTCACCCTTTCAATGTCGAAACTGTTAAATGTCGCCGTCTCTTCTACTCCAATAGCTTCATGTCTCACACCTCTCGCCTATGGAACTCCCTCCCCAATTCCTGTTTCCCTGATAGCTATAATCTCCAACTCTTCAAATGTAATGTCAATCGACGTCTCCAGATGCCCTGATCTATCCCCTAACCTTCTTTTCATCACTCCTATTTGCTCTCACTCCAACACCCGGTAATCCCTTGCGTGCTAGTGCCTTCCCGCCTTGCTTGGGGTGGAATGCTTAAAAAAAATAACACTATCTACGTTGTCTTCGGAATGATCTAAGGCAGGTAGTGGTGTTTTGCTATGGCTACATTTCATGATTTGTTTTTCTTACTCCCATAACATTACAACCGTTACATGGTCAAAGTTTTTCTTAGTGCCTGGTCTGTACATATCAAGACGTTTTTTTTTTTGTATTTCTCTTAAGCTGTGATATCCAGGGATTTTTTTTCAATGTCTTCTTGTGTTCCTCTTTTTATCATTCCAAGCGCACCTACTATGACTCGTTCTATTTTTGTTTTCAATTTCCACATTTTTTCCTATTCTGATTTCCAGTCTTTGTACTTCAAATTCTTTGGTTGCGATTAGCTTTGACTGTTCTGTCTGTGCGTATTGTACAATCCCATAAAACTGTAACAGGTCCTATCTCCATAACGGGGTCTGGATGGTGTTCATATCAATTTCTTTCAGTTTCCTTCCCGTAGAAGTTGCAGATTTTCAAGTGCAGATATTGGTCCACTCTGTCATGCTTTATATATTTATATCATGATTTACATTTAGTGGGTGCCAATATCGTGCAACCTGATACAAGATGACCAATCGTTTCTGGATATTTATCACAGAATCTGCATTTTGGACTAACACAATTATTTACTATGAGTACTCGATATTTTCTAGTTAACAAGCATTGGTTCTGTGCAGCAAGAATAAAACCTTCGATTTCAGCTTTTAACCCTGCACTACGTAGCCACTGATGGGTATGGGGTTTGTCTATATCAGCTATTTATTTGGTTCCGGCAGAGTATTGAACGTGAAGCGGTTTATCTTGTCATCGTGTCGATATCCGGTCGGTTGCATTTGCTTTTTCTTTTCTTTTTTAAGTATTTTGCAGCTTCAGTCGGTGTATTGCGTTTTACTTCTTATTATTATTTTATTTCTTTTGATTTCTGGTGTGTACTCATTTCCTACCGGTCCCGGCTAGAAACTAAGGTCAGAAATGGCATCATGACATTTTCCACTGACATAAAGAAAAAAAAATCATATTTTACATAGACAAAGCCCTTCGTAAGTTGTGGGCTGTACTCGTGAGAAAAATCTTTTGTATATCTTTAAGGCATGGACTTCCAGGAATCCTTTCAATTAGTCTACTGAAATATTTTCCAACCAATCCGAGGGCTCCAACTACAACGGGGATTGTTGATGTTCCCATATGCCACTATTTTGAGATTCCGATTTCAATGCCCTTGTATTTTAATAGCGTTTTGAAGATCTTGAAAGATACATTGCAGTCTGCAGGTACTGCCATATCAATAAGGAGGCACCTTTTTTGTGTGCGATCTCTAATAACAATGTCTGGGCGGTTAGCTTTGGATTAGCCTATTGATTCTGTCTGTGTGTATTGTGCAGTCCCATAAAAATTGTAAAAGGTCCTATCTCCGTAAGTGGATCTGGGTGGTGTTCATACCAGTTTCTTTCAGTTTCCTTCCCATGGAAGTTGCAAATTTTCCGGTGCAAATATTGGCCAACTCTGTCACGCCGGGTTTTATATTCAGTGGGTGCAAATACCATGCAACCTGATACAAGATGATCAATTGTTTCTGGGTAATTATCACAGAAACTTCATTTTGGGCTAACACTCTATTTTAGTGTGCTTGTTATTATTATTATTATTATTATTATTATTTTCTTTGATTTCTGGCCTTTACACATTTCTTTCCGGGTCCCGCCCAGGGAACTAAGGTTAGAAATGGCATCATGACAATTTCCACTGACAAAAAAAAAAAAAAATAGAAAAAGCCCTTCGTAAAGTTTGGGCTGTACTTGTCAGAACAATGTTTTGTACCTCCTTGAGGCATGGATTTCCAGAAATCCCTTCAATTAGTCTACTGCAATCTTTTCCAACCAGTCCTAGGGCTCCAACTACAACAGGGATTTTTGATGTTCCCATGTGCCACATTTTTGAGATTTCAATTTCAAGGCCCTTGTAATTTGAAAGTTTTTGAATATCTTCAAACATTGCAGTCAGCAGGGACTGCCATATTAATAAGGAGGCACTTTTTTGTTTGTGGTCTTTAATAACAATATCTGGGCGGTTAGATTTGATTGTTCTGTCAGTGTGTATTGTGTAGTCCCATAGAATTGTAACAGGTCCTATTTATATATTTTTAACCATTTAAATATATGCTTTTTTATTTAAGATTATTTTTATCATTTTAATTTATTTTTAATTATTTAAATCTACAATAAATTGTTTTACTATTCACTTGGAAAACAATAGGATGTATTAAATATAATATACTAAAATTCCAAATCGGAATTTATCATTTTCAATTTAGAGGTTTTATTAGTATATTATATTAATTAATATTATTAAGATGTTAATTTTAACGCCTTCAAAACTAAACTTCTCTCCATTAATCATCTGCGAGACACCTTGCTGCCTTCCATCAGTATGGCTGATGCTATCCTCCATAAAAGTGACTCGTTGGGCCTTATTGAGTTCACGTTCTCTACTAATAAGAAGTTGAAAGACAATATCGAATTCATTGCTAGGTCAGCCGCTAAGAAATTTGGTTCACTATTGTTGAAACTTAACTAATGCATGGAATAATAATGCAACACAAAATGTACTTAGAACAAAATGTGTTGAAACAAGAAAGTGTACACAATATTTACATATAGTCTTTTGTATATTCCTGGTAAGACCGTTCCTGGAGAATGTGTTGACTGAGTCGCAGTCGGGCAGAGTCTCTGGTTGAATCTCTTGATTCCTCCCTCTCTTCCCGGTACCAACCATATTTATATGGTCGGTACTCCACTATGCAAATTAGGTGGATCCTACCACAACAACTATATAGGATGAGACAATTTTTCTCTCCAGAATCTATCTTGCATATCTATAAGTCTACCATTCGTCCATACTTACAATACTGCTACCATAGGGTGCGGTATCGCCGAGAATTTGATTCTTTCAAAGTTAAAAATGTATTCGAGATTACTTCCAAGATATTCTTATATTCCTTTCTTTTCTTTTCTTACTATTGCAATATCCCCCACCCCCACAAAAAATCATTTTCTTCAATTTTAGTAGTAGTAGTAGTAGTATCATTACTGAATTCATCCTCTGAATCGACCGTTCTTTAACAGGGTATGCTATTTCTTCTTTACTTAGAATTATTCATTTATTTTAATTGTTTTTGAGATTTCAAATTTATGTTCTGGTTCAGTCCAAGAAAATGAAATTATTTTATATCGCGTTTCGCTTGTTCAGATATTGTTTCTCTTTTTTTTCTGCTTCGACCAACGTGCGAAATTTTATGGCGATGTTCGAATTTCAGATTTTGACATTCGGCACATGAATTTTTAACTTATTCCGACGAATGAAACAAATTCATGAATTTAGAACAAAAATCCAATTGGAATTGGAGATAGAAATTGTCCCAATGGGGAAATAAAATTTCTGGGAAGAAATTAATTAAAAACAAAGAAATCAGGTATTCAGATCTATCTATCTATCTATCTATCTATGTCTATCTATCGATCTATGTCTACACACATCTATCTATATCAGTTTATTTAGATCTATCTATCGATCTAACTATATATTTATATTTGTCTATCTATCCATATCTATCGATCTATCTATCTATCTATTCATTTCTATCTATCGATCTATGTCTAAACACATCTATCTATCTATCTATCTATCTATCTATCTATCTATCTATCTATCTCAGTTTATTTAGATCTATCTATCGATCTGTCTATATATTTATATTTATCTATCTATCTATCCATATCTATCGATCTATCTGTCTATCTATTCATGTCTATCTATCGATATATCCATGTCTACTCATAACTATCTATCTACCTATCTATTTTATATTTTAGGAATATTTATCTATCTGTCCATATTTATCTATCTATCTATCTAATCATGTATATTTGTCGATCTATGTCTACAAACATCTATCTATATATCTGTCTCAGTTTATTTAGATCTATCGATCGATCTATCTCTATATTTATATTTATCTATCTATCCATATTTATCGATCTATCTGTCTATCTATTCGTGTCTATCTATCGATCTATCCATGTCTACTCATAACTATATATCTACCTATCTATCTATTTTATATTTTAGGAATATTAATCTATCTATCTACCTATTCATGTCTATCTATCGATCTATGTCTACACACATCTATCTATCTATCCATCTAACTATCTATCTATTTTATATTTTAGGAATATTTATCTATCTATCCATATCTATATTCATCTCTATCTATCGATCAATGTATACGCACATCTATCTATCTATCTATCTATCTCAGTTTATTTAGATCTATCTATCGATCTATCTATATATATTTATATTTATCTATCTATCCATATCTATCGATCTATCTGTCTATCTATTCATGTCTATCTATCGATCTATCCATGTCAACTCATAACTATCTATGTACCTATCTATATACCTATCTATCTATCTATCGATTTTATATTTTAGGAATATTTATCTATCTATCTATCTAGCTAGCTAGCTAGCTATCTCAGTTTATTTAGATCTATCTATCGATCTATCTCTATATTTATATTTATCTATCTATCCATATCTATCGATCTATCTGTCTATCTATCCGTGTCTATCTATCGATCTATCCATGTCTACTCATAACTATCTACCTATCTATCTATCTATATTATCTTTTAGGAATATCTATCTATCTATCTATCTATCTATCTATCTATCTCAGTTTGTTTATATTTTTCGATCGATCTATCTCTATATTTATATGTATCTATCTATCCATATCTATCGATCTATCTGTCTATTTATTCGTGTCTATTTATCGATCTATCCATGTCTACTCATAACTATCTATCTACCTATCTATCTATTTTATATTTACGAATATTTTTCTATCTATCTGTCTATTCATGTCTATCTATCGATCTATCCATGTCTACTCATAATTATCTATCTACCTATCTATCTATTTTATATTTTAGGAAGCACAGAGTTAGACAAGTTTATTAACTAACATAGTCTTTCTCTTTAGGTTTTTATTTTTGCATTTTGTATTTTGTCCAATTTTTGCTCAATAACTTTCGGCCATCTTTGTAATTATCAGGAAATCAATGTTTTCATTATTGTAGACAAAGTTTTTCTTACTTATATCCTGGTATATTTTGGAACGCTACATTTCAAATCTAAATTCGTGTGTAAGTGACGTCATATGTAGAATATTTTTTATTCGGAACCATCCCAAGAAAATCAGTAATGCCACTAAAACATAAAGTGTCAAAGGGTGCGGGAGAATTAGGAACATACACATCAATGATGAACGGAAAGAGTACATAGTAATTAGGTGGACATTGTATTTAAATGTCTGCAGATTAAGCCCCACTAGCAGTTGTCCAATGGATTCAGGTCTGGAGAGCTAGGAGGTATGTTTGGAGTGACGTTATCAGTGGCGCAGAATTTTGTTGGTAGGTGTATGGCCTTCATTTCGTCACGCTCTCTATTCAAGTCCTTATAGCCCTCTCCAACACCATCTTAAAGTCGCCAGCATTGATCCTTAAGTCTTGAGGATAGGGAATACGAGGAGGAGGCGTTATCTTCCTCTCTTGTCGAACACTTTGCCTCCGGATGGAGAGGGAAGAAGACTAGGCTATACCGAAAAGCAGAATCTCGTTTGGGAAGATAGAAAAACCCGACTCCGTGTATACAGTTTTTGCCCGAGCCTATAGATTCGGAACACACCACATTAAAAACTGGCCTTATGCTACATCTTGCCTTGTGGGGAGGTTGGTAAATAGAGATGAGATATGACATCTACCTCAATGCCTACGTCTCCCAGACCCAGTTGTCGGGAATTTCGTGTGTTTGGCCGTCGAAACATCCTTAAAGTCTCTTTGTTTAACAATTTGTAATTCCTCCAGATGACCTTTTGGTCCAGATCAAAGTATTCCAGACTAAAGATGTTCTCATGATATTGCCCTAACACAGGGGTTGCCAACCGCGGCTCTCGAGCCACTTAAGGCTCGGGAGCTACTTACGGCTCGCGAGCCACTTACGGCTCGGGAGCCACTTACAGCTCTTTGACCTTTAATATGCGCCTCATGTAAATATGACTGAGCTCCTTTTTTTCATCACAGTTAATATAATAGGTAAATAAGAAAAAATTCAAACTTTATAATTATTTACTGGGTATGAATTGAGACCTCATTGGATTAAATGATAAGTTTTGTAGCTCTCAAACATCTGAACTTCGTCTCATGAGGCCCTTACATTAAACAAGTTTGGCCACCATTGCTCTAACACTTGACTCTGCAGGCTCTTAGGCACGTACAACCTCATTCTTGGACTTTCATCTTCGCTAGATACATAATAAAGAATGTCACCTATAATCTGATATTTATTAGCTGTTGTACCTTTTGAAATCCTTCACCCTGTAAAGCCTCCTTAGATGATCCTAGTTCCACGGCATTCTTATATTCTTGTTGTGGAGTTATTTCGCAGTGGATGCTTGTATTTGTAATAAATCGGTCTTAAAATAGGTTCGACGTACAAAATTTTAAGAACTTGATATAATTGGTATTACACAGGGTAATCTTGTTGTGGTCGCTGACTACTTTCGTTTTCGATTAACTGTCGACTACTGTCGTCCGACATCGACTGACCCTAGGTTCTCTTACCACTCCTACTTATATTAGGTGGGAGAGTCTATTAACTATATTATAGGTGTGTTTCACCATAACACCCCATTCCTAAAATTTTACTCCGCAGGAGTAAAACAGTTTTCTTTATTTATTTTTTACAGGAAATATGAAGAAAAAAAAATCATTTTTTTAGCAGCATTGTAGCGTATCTCCTATGTTTTGGATCCACTTTTAAATGATCAGTTGCCTTTCTTTTTCTCCTGGATTGGTGTACCTCAGATAAAATCGTTCCAGGCGTTGTTAGATCAAACGTATCGAAAATCACCTCGATCGGCGTTTCTTTCGCGGCACCGCTGTCAACCACGTCTGAAGAGCGTCGTCTGATCTGGGTACTGCACGTGAATTTTTCGCCTTTCACCAAGTACATCCTATTGCCAATCCGCTTTTCTATTTTTTGGTACCTCCATAATGTTACCAGAAACAACCTTCCGCTTTGAGCTTCTTAAGGATGGAGTCACAGTTTCTGTAGGTTCTTCTTGTGGTTCTATTTGTTCAGCCTTTAGCTTCCCTTTTGTTGATCTTGTGCTTCTTAACGTTTTCTGTGGTGACTTCAGTTGACTTAAATCATTTAATAATACTGCATGTCCTTGGCCGCGGGTAACTCGCTCCACAGTTTTTCTCGGTGTCGGCTTCATCTTTACTTTCTGGACCTTTTTTTCACGTATATCGCCGGTGTTACCCATTCACTATACTCAACTTTTTTAAGTACACCAGTTTTCTCTAATCTGTCCAATTCTTTATCTATCTGTTCAATTGAGGCAAACGGCACATTCCTTTTCTTTTTGAATACCGCCCGAGCGTTTTCTTTTAGCTGGAATTTTGCCGCCATCTTGGTACACGTTCCCAACCCTGGAGAGAAACAGTAGGAAATGTTTCCTTAAGTTTCTTTATTAATTTTTGGGCTTCGGTGTTTAAACTTTCTACCTTGTAACAGAAGGAATTTATCGCTAGATCCCATAATTGGAATTCTGTTATCCAATTCGTACCAAGTATGTTCGTGGTATTTTCTATGACAAATAGTTTAGCTTTTCGCGTTTTTTATTTATTTAACGTGACGTTTGTAACAAATTTTCCAATAAATTGTATTTTTTCTCCCGTCACTGACCTCGCGATTTTCTTTGTCTTAATTAAAGTTGGTTTCCCCAACTTCTTCCACGTATGCAAATTTATGATAGATAGATCTGAGACAGTGTCAAGGTGCATTTTTATATTTTATTACTTATTTCGACGGTAACAAATTTTCTGGTTATTCCATCGTTCACCTCGTTGGACTTTATTTTTTGACCTGCAATGCGTGCTTTTATGCCCCACTCTTTTACAGTTGAAAATTTTTTTTCCTAAAATAGCAATATCTGTACCAGTGTACTTCACCGCAAGCAAAACATGGCTTCGGATGTTTTTGTTTATTTTTCTTTGGTATTTCACTTTTTATTTGATAATCCGCAATTTTAGAATTCTTTTTGGTAGATTGACTTTCTTCTTTGTAGCGTATTTTCCTTACATGCGAAACGCCAGACTGTTCTATCTTTTTTTAATCTTTCTTTACGCTAACATATCCTGTGCAGTCTTCTGCCAATTTCTGTACCGTAATACTTGGATCGCTTTCCAATTTTGCCAGTACTAATTTTCTCAACTCTGCGCCTTTTTCCGATACCAGCCACTGTACAAACACCAAGCACTTAAAATAGTCTGCGCTTAACTCTGCCAGCTTGAATTCTTCACAATGCTTATTCACATTGGCTGCTTACGTTATATAGTCTTGTTCGTCATCTTTCATCAGATTCAAACATTTCCACCTCTTGTGAAACAGAGATGTCTTTTTACTAAATAATTCACTTGATATATTTAATATATTTACCGCCTCGGTAAATGTCAACTCGCTAGTTTTTTTTTTTTCAGTAAAATGTAATTTACCAATTTGTTATGCTCAGCAGTTCCTAATTTGCTTAAAAGAAGCCTAACCTTCTTTCCTTCAGACCACGAGTGGCAATCCTCATTATACACGTCCGTATATTTTTTATAATACTCCTCAAAAGTTATCTCTTCATCTGGACTGTACGTGAATATTTCAATTGAATTCCATATTGTACTCTCTGGGAAAGAATCATTTTCTAGATTTTTCTCTTTCCTCTTCTCAGTTATTTCCAGAATTTTGTTTTGAAACTCCCTATGCATCTGTTCCATTTTTTGTTGGAATTGCATTTGTCTATTAAATGTTTCCTCCTGTAGCTGCACCTGGAATGTTTTTTGTTACTCTAATATTGTCATCTGTTGTTCCGACTGGAACTTAAAGAATTCCCGGAATATATTTTTGCATTACTCTATCTTCGCAAAAAGTTTACACAATGCCTAAATACTGTAGAGGCGGAGGTCCTACGAACTTGCAATTCGTGACTTATTTGAGCAGACTGTATTATCGAGGAAAAAATATTTATTTTCTCAGTTGAGAATACGACTGATTTTTTCGTCACTAAGTTGACGTCTTGGCTTTCGAAAACTTAGCCAAGTTTTTTTTTTTTTTTTTTTTAAGTGTGAATCCGAGATTTTCTCGCCGAAGTTATTGTGGCGAGCGAAATTTTTCTTCCAACTTATGAGTGCGAATTTCGTCGCCAAAGTTGTTGTGGCGAGTAAATTTTTTCTTCCTCCGAATGACTGCGAATCCCTCGTCGCCAAAGTTGTTGTAGCGAGCGAATTTTTTCTTCCTCCGAATGAGTGCGAATCCTCGTCGCCAAAGTTGTTGTTGACTTATTTCGCAGTGGAGGCTTTTATTTGTAATAAATCGGTCCTAAAATAGTTTCGACGTACAAAACGTTAGGAACTTGATATAATTGGTATTACGCAGAGTAATTTTGTGGTTGCTGACTACTTTCTTTTTCGATTAACTGTCGACTACTGTCGTCCGACATCGACTGACCCTCGCTTCTCTTACCACTCCTACTTATATTAGGTTGGAGAGTCTATTAACTATAGAATAGGTAACAATTCTTTCATTATTGACTCTGGTTTTGGTCTGTCGAAATTTTAATACAGAAATTATCAATTCCAATGTTTCAGTCAGACGAAATGCATGTATCAGTAGTCAGGTGAGGGTGGAAAATATTATTAATCTTAAAGGGAAGAGGCTTTATAAAATTAAACCCGGATATTAAACTTACGACATTAAAATGGGTTATATGAAGAATGAAGTGTTTATTTTAGACTAATGGACGGTTATTTGTTGTTTGCAGGCATGGATTGGC